CCAAATCCACCCAATCACCTAATTCAAACCCTTGAAATTTAGTCCAACGGCTAAAGTAGTTATAACTTTTAAAGGGGCCCCCTGTTTGTAACTGTTTGATCAAATTTCAAGGGCCTGTATTGATTGATTGGGTGGATTCGGTGGAAGGAATCCGGAGAGGATCTCTTTCCATAAAATTGGACCTATTTCAAGTTAGATTATTTACACATAACAGATTTGTATGAAAGAAGTTAATTTAAACCACATATTAATGAAACTCTTTTTGTCAACTATAAGAGGATGAAAAAATATTTTTGTCTTCTATCACAAAATAAAATTATGAACAATAAAGTAATTTGCACAAACTAAATTTTACAATTGTTTTTTAAAAGCATCATCTACATGTAATCCTAACAAATCATCTAAAAAAACTCCGGATTTTTACGAGTGTATTGTTTTATGAAACTTCGAATTTCTATAGCACTTATTTTCAAAACTTTAAGTTCGAGTTTAAGTACGAACTCTAGGTTCATGATACCTGCAAACAAACACAATATACATATGCAGTGAACGGGAATAGCTTAGGGACCTATGTGTGAAAAGAATGAGCGACGACCCAAAATATGGGGCTGTCGTGGCTTGCAGGCCCAAAAGAGTGGTTGTTAGGTTGCTGGGCAACAAATGAGAAGTAAATGGGTTAACAAATTATATACCAATTATTGGGCTAAGAAGGAAAAGTGAAAAACAAGGCCTAACCCATGGGCTTGTTATTTGTGAGCCAAAAATAAAACAAGGCCCAAAAGAAAAAAAAAAAAAAACAAGTGGGACGGTTTGGTGCATATGCCCAATTGGGTTGTGGGTCGATTGTAGGCAGCCCAGGTCCGTAAGAAAGGTGATGCAAAATGGCTTTGTTTTGGACCTAAGAGTTTTGGAGCAGGAACGACTTGGTGGCTCGGGCAGCGCGGCTTCAGGCTGCAGCTCCCATGCGTGTAGGGTTTGAAAAATCCCAATTTTTTTTCTTCTCTTGTTCACGCATATTCAATTCACCACAATTATGAGAACAATAAATTTAAGCTGAATCTATAATTTGAAAAAAAAAAAAAGAAGAAAAAAAAAAAACGTAAAATTAGAGTTCATGCTTCATGGTGAATGTTTCATGCAATCATTGCTGAAAAAATATCGAAATTGAAACCATGTTTTATAGATTACTTGGATTGCTTGATGAATATTGTGAATGGCTTTATAATAAACAAGCATTCAGTTCCTTAGCTTAGTGTCAGGAGCATGTTTAACAATGCGTTGTGGCCTAAATTTAACTGAAGGAGAGAGAGAGGGGTGCAGCTGCATAAAGAGAAAAGATTGGCTTGGGAATTACTGTGATGATATTTCTCCGTACCTTGTGCCTTTTTTAAGAAAAATAATGGGGTTACTTGCCCTACAAGTAATACAAAGTTGTGCCTTTTGTTTTTTTGTAATTAATTCTTGAATTGTTTCTCATTAACATTAGTAGTTGTTGTGACTATAAATACTCAAGTAATGATTTCTGTTGTGAAATTGGTGTGAATTATATTGCTTAAATAGTAGAAGTTTGGTTGTTGTGACTATAAATACTCAAGTAATGATTTCTGCTGTGAAATTGGTGTGAATTATATTGCTTAAATAGTAGAAGTTTGGTTTTTATTGTTTTGGTGCGTAAGCCTTTTACATGCATGAAAAGAGACGTATGCTTATATCGTATGACTAGTACAAAAAGATGAAAAGCAGAAAATAATAATCATGTTTTCCTCATTTGTCCCTCTCTACGTTCATTTCTCTTATCTAATACTAGTGAAGAAAATAAACAGAATAATACATGACTCCCGTCTCACTTAAATCTCTAATAACTCTGATAATATATATAGGTACACATCATCTGATAATAACATGTTTCTAAATGCTCAAGGTAATCATTATCTTGAATTGGTCAAAGCTCCAAAAGACTCCAAAACAAAACTGTCGAACACTCTAATGCTTTAGCACATTTAATCACATATATTAAACATTAGCCCGTTCTATCACAAAATATATCTCGGGATACTAAACCTAGTTAGAAACTATTTTTTTTTTTTTAAGTTTTACATATATTAAAATAAACGGTTAAATGGGTACCCGTTTATAATCGTGGGTAATACCCATAACCGCCTATTTAAATTTCACGGGTAAACGGTTATACCTATAACCGTTTATTTATCTAAACAGTTACCCATAACCATAACCATCAAATTTAAATAGGCGGATAACCGCGGTTACCCATAACCAATGGGTATTTGCCCATCCCTAATCTAGATACACAAGTATGTTAATTACCCGTTTAATCTTTTGAATTGAAATACTTATTGCGCTGGTTTTATAATTATCATGGTTGATGTGTAATGAGTGTTTGGTGTTAGTTAAAGACATATTTGGATTTACGCTTACTCGATGGCATATGAAGTTGGTTCGCGCAATCCAATCTAGTACAAATGGGTGTAATGTACTGTGTGCACATCAAGCGCATGTATCACTAAGAAATACGTTTTAGTATCATCAGCCTCCCTCGTATCCCTCTATAGCAGTACTAGATGGTGGCTAATTACTTTGTGACCAAGAAACCTCCTAATTATAAGCTGCGATCTCCCCCTTGTTTGTTTTTCGATGAATATGTCGATGATGGCATGCATTTAATCCACTGCTTGAGGTCTTTTACTTCAGTAATGTTGGAGGCAACACTGCAGGAAATGTTTGACATTTCACCAGTACCCTACTAAAAGCATGACGCCATTAAATAAACTTTAAACTTGCCTTAATTATACAAATAGGGAGGTGTAAATTTTCTATTTTCTATATTTGATTTATGGAGACGAATTGATAATTACCTACATATATATCATACTGCCCGGGTTATTCCCCACAAGGATTTTGGCCTCACGTTTACTGTAAGCTCCACCCACCAAATCATGTCATTTGGAGTTTCGCAAGATGCTTCCAATTAATTAGATTAAAAATTAAGGTTGAACCAAAATTTTGGCGTGTTGTATCCACTAACTGCTGTATGCATGCATGATGGATGATCATGAGCGTTGTCACATCATTCGTTCATTCATTCATTCCCCAAATTGAATAGATCAATCGAACCTTCTAATTAAGCATATAAAGTACACTGTACACCATCAAAATAAGGTCCTGTGTCCCAATCCAACGTACACTTTGAATTGTTTCAATTTGAAATGTCCAGTGTCCAATTTTCTGCATGCTATCATATACTAACATGTACTGTTAAAATTGTAGACACGAACAGAATCACGAACCGAGAAAATAAAGATCTTATATGTTATAGGTCGGTTTGGTGTGTGTGTGTGTGTGTGTGTGTGTGTGTGTGTGTATTGATATATATAGAGAGAGTGAGAGAGAGAGAGAGAGAGAGAATCTCTAGACACACGTAACATATAAATGGCACATTTGAGGATAACCGAACCAAACCATGAGCAACTTCTCTCTTGAGTTAGCTAGGGCAGACACTTTGTTGAACCATGGAAAGCACATGATTGAACTGCCAACCCTAACCCTACTCATCCAAAGTCATCAGCCTTCTAATAAAGGGATGCATTATAGAGGAAACTGATGAGGGAGTTAATACCAGATTAAGAAATTCAAATGCCCTCGACGACTTCTCTCCTCCTCCTTCCATATTAAGCGCTTCTGCTAACAATCTCCTGCAATATTACATGTTTTATTAAGGTAATTACTCTCCTTTTCTTTTCTTTTCTTTTCTATTTTCCACAAGCTGGTCTTTTGGATTTTTCTAACAAAAGTAATAAGAACTCATGTGGTCCATATAATTTTTCCATGGTAATAATTCCAGCGTAGCTAGATATATAGCGGATGATGATGTAGCTACATTAGCGATCAGCTGTCTGAGCTGATTCTCCACTCCATATGTGGATCATTATACAAATACACTTGGAATTAATTTATTTACAATTTTATATTATGCTCCTTCAACGGTAGGATTTTTCTCTAGACTTGGGAATGAGTAGTTTAATTATATGTCCATATGTACAAGCTTAAACAAATGCAGCATGGCACGTGATCAACTAGTTCATTGACTGTCCTCCATCAAGTTCAATTGGATCTTTCATCAACATGCCTCAAAATATGTGGTCAATATATCATTGCACGGCTTGTATCATTTATTTGAATATATAGACCTAGCTAGAAAGTACTAATGAGGTAAATATTGGTATGAAAATTTGATTGAGGTTAATGTTGGTTAAAATTTAATTTAGTGTACCTAGTGTTTAAAATATCAGTATCTGTGGAAATATTGATATGTAAATTTGCGAAAATATTGATGGATATATTGATATCGGTTGTCTTCGATATAAATGATGTAAGTTTTCTAAAAAAAACGTGGAAATTGAAAATGAAACCTTAGGGAATGTCATATGGCAGTTTGTCAATCATTAAATAATGTGTCGGAAATATCAACGAAATCAGTCAATTTTGGCTGCGATTTAAGAATTTCTCAGATATGGACTTCACCCTACCTTTCCATATATTTCTTTAATTTTTTAGATATTTCTATGGATATATTGACTGAACAGAAGAAATTTCAAACACTGAGAATACTTAACCTTAATTAAAATAAGTTGTCATTTAATTAGTTTACTTGTTAAAGTTGACAAGGAGAAAAAGTAGGAGGGTAATTTCCGTCAACATCCCATTTTCCCTCACATGACTTGTATACTTTGTTGATACCAACTTTCAAGGTAATAATATTAATGGTTATGAGGGATTGAAACTTACAAAAATTACTATATGCACTTACATTCATCAAAAAAAGTCAAAGAACATTGCAAAAATATGAGTTTTCTTGTCCTCTAACAATTTCATCTAATCAAGTAGTTCGATGTATGTATATATCAAGCTCCAAGTCCTAGCTAGTACTTTAGGATACATAATGCGAATAGGATTGCTGCGTGCTGTACAAGAATACTATAAATACCATTAGACGACTGATCCGCATTAACCAACATTAATCCTCTCAAATCGATCGATACATATTTTTCTTCTTCATGATCTTCCCTTTTGCTTCGCTATGAATATGGTCTTCATATATAGGGCCCTAACCAAAAACAGATTAGTGCTCTCAGGGAAGAATCTGGTCGCGGGATTGGGACGTGTGAAAATCTGTGGAGGGAAGCTGTGGCAGCTTGGAAACAGCCATTACTCGCGGAGGAAAATCATGAGGGGAAAGCAGGTTTCAGGAAGAGTGCTGTTGGTGCTATGTGTTGCAAGTTTTCTTGCAGGATCACTGTTTTGTACCAGCCGCATGACATGGACGACTCAAGTGCATTCTCCAAATAAAGAAGCTGATCATCAGTTTCCCATCATTTCCAGCCGCATAAAGAAGCTAGAGGCCTCATCATCAGTCGCACAAGATAAAGATTGCGATCTCAAGCGGGTAATTAATTATTAATTAATTATAAGCTACTTATTCACCAATAGTATTCATGAAGTCGTCAAGTTAACATCGATGAACACCTCATCAATACTCTAGCATTTATGCATAAAGTACACACGTGTATATGATGAGACGGTTCATGTGTTACCCATACAATTTCAATATCGATCCTAATTAAGAGTCATAGATATGGTCAGTTGCCAAGTTCATCATATATAGTCCAATTTCGTAACCTTGTTTGTTTGAGAACTGACTAGGTAGTACACACAGATGCATGCCAATTTGTAACATATTTATTTTCCACTTTTTTGAATCAGAAATTGGTCGAAGGAAAATCCGAGGATGATATTATGGCAGAGATGACAAAAACCCATCAAGCTATCCAGTAAGTAAAGCTCTACCCAACAACTATGCTCTCCTGTAACTTGTGTATTGTTTTTTGGGTTAAAAGCTTAATTAAAAAGCAAGTACCTAATATTAAACAGATCGTTAGATAAAACAATTTCAACGCTGGAGATGGAAATAGCAGCAGCAAGAGCAAGCCAGAGATTAGAGGGACAACTCAAGTTAGACGACGGTGCGTCAAATAATGATCCCACTACTCATCCTAAGCAAAAAGCTTTCGTATTCATTGGAATCAACACAGCTTTCAGCAGCCAAAAACGACGGAAAACAGTTCGAGAAACCTGGATGCCCAGAGGTCGTTGGTTAAGTTCTTCTTAATAATTTCGCAAGAACATCAAAGCACGTAGACTTAAATATTAGCAACTAATAATATTGCATTGCATCTGGCAGGAGAGAAGCTAAAGAAGTTGGAGAAGGAGAAGGGGATTGTAATAAGGTTTGTGATAGGGCAGAGCGCAATGCCGGGAGGCATGCTTGATAGGGCGATCGAGGCAGAAGAGGCAGAGCACAACGACTTCCTTCGGCTCAACCATGTGGAGGGCTACCATGAACTCTCCACCAAGACCCGCCTGTATTTCTCCACCGCCATCTCCATTTGGGATGCTGAGTTTTATGTCAAGGTCGACGATGACATCCATGTCAATCTTGGTATGCTAGCGACCACACTTGCAAGGCACCGCTACAAACCCAGAATTTATATTGGTTGCATGAAGTCAGGCCCAGTTCTCTTCCAAAAGTGAGTGAGAACCTCTATATATTTTCATTTCAAAGATATTAATTCTTTTCGTATTTCATGAAAAATAAAGAATAAATATTAAATTTGGGGTGGGTGAATGCTGCAGAGGGGTGAAATATCACGAGCCAGAGTATTGGAAATTCGGAGAAGAAGGAAACAAATACTTCAGACATGCGACTGGCCAAATCTATGCCATCTCGAAGGACCTGGCTACCTACATCTCCAACAATTTGTGAGTACTAGAACCTGACGTGTGGTTAGATTTGGTCAAATGATTGGGCTTGGGCTGCCAATTACTATATATGTATTGGATCTTTGCAGGCCAATATTACATAGGTATGCAAATGAGGATGTATCATTGGGTTCCTGGTTCATTGGGCTTGAAGTCGAGCACATTGACGACCGCTCCATGTGTTGCGGGACCTCTCCAGGTATGACTCTGCTGATCACGGAGTAACACTATTGCATAGGGTATACGTGATACTGATTGAATTCTTGTGATGCATGTGTTAATTAACGTGGGTAAAATGTATGTATGTATGTGTGTGTGCAGATTGCAAAAGGAGGGCACAAGCAGGGAATGTATGCGTGGCATCATTTGATTGGAAGTGCAGTGGAATATGCAACTCCGCGGAGAGGATGAAAGACGTGCATAACTTGTGCGGAGAAGAAAATGGCGCTGTTTGGAACGTTGAACTTTAAGTTTCAACTTTTATTTCATATTAAATAATAATATAGGCTCATCATAGCTATCTATATGCATGCATGTCTATTCTATAATTTCTATTATTCTGTAGGTGGATTGTTTAATTAGTATATGTGGATGATATGGAATTATCAATTTATGGACGGAGTTCTAAAGAGGGAGAGTTACATGAAGTCCTTAATTTGCTAACTTTACTAACTTCCGAAAGATTTTGTGCACCTCTTTTTCCTTGTTAATTTGTTTACATTTTAATCCCACTACTACTTTTGTTTTGTAATGGAAGAAACATGACCTTAGAAATAAGGTAAATTATATAAAACTACCTTAATTATGGGACGAACTATAATCTCATACCTCATGAATGTCATACTTATCTTACAAATTTATTGCAATGTTAGACCTTTATCAGTTTGTCTGTCAATTTTTTTGTTAAATGATGATGTGGCTTGAGGCAGGGTTCACTCCTCCAACTGGGTAAAAATATTAATAAATTAAAGATAAAAGTATTTAAATCTTTTAACATAAAAAATGTGGGACCACTAGTGGCGGATCCACAGAAAGACCTGGAAGGTCCCAAGACCCCTCGAAGACCCCTAAATCGTAGCTTGAATCTTCCGGAAACCCTTTGTACTCAGACGAAAACTCTGCAGCTGTAGTAGCAGTGGCGTTTGCACGGCAAAGACGACCGCGCTGTGGAAGAAAGAAAATTTTGCCCTTTTTCAGCCCTGGCCGAAAGCACACGTTTTGACCAACTAATTGAAACATTTCCTCAAAAAAAAAAAAAAAAAAAAAAAAAAAGAAAGAGACAATGACAAATGCTACCGTTGGCTTCCTTTTTGTTTTCCCCAAGGCCCCGTCACTCTTACCAAATACCCATACCTTATTTATCCCTTCCCCCATCTAAAACCTGAAACCCCCGAATTTCACGTATCCAATCCTCAATTTCCCAATTCTCAAAACCCTAAAATCCCACCAATCCCATATTTTAATTTTACTCCAACATCATATGGCACACCCCAATCAAAAATTGGAGCGTGCTGGCCGTCACGTGAGGGTGATGTAGCCAAGTGCACAGTGCGGAAGCAAAAGAGTGAAAATATGAGAAAAATAAAGTCGACAAAATAATTTACAATAAAAAGATCAGTGAGTGTTAGTGACAAACATTGAAGGAAAATGCAAAGTAGAAGTTCGAGTATCCCAGGTGCAGTCCAGAATAAACAAACACTACACAAGTGATAACTAGAAAGTCCTACATGGAGGGTGCTTGTCAGAAATGCCTCGATGCCTCTTTCGTCACCCACGTCATCGCTACCTAAAACCTGGAGGGGCGCAAAATAGAAAACATGAGTGGGCAAAAACAAAGCTTTTCAAAATCATTTCATTCACAAAAGTTATAACCCCTCTCTGTAAAACATGTATACTTTCCAGAAAATATTATACGTACTCATATATCAAATCATGCTAAAACGATAAAGCTCAAATATGCCATGCTGGAATATGCCATGTCAGAATTATCCAATCAAACAGTATAAGCATCAAGCAGGTGAGATAAAACAAATCATAATATGCCAATGATATCAATACGTCAGTCGAAGTCACCTAAAGTGACTTGTACGGCTGAAACTATAGCTCCTCAACCACTATCCTGCACACGAGTCGGAACCACCTATAGTGGTTTGTATGACAAGCTGGGTGTAAATAAATACACTATAGTGCTACGATCACGTGAAGGCTGTGCGAAGTATCGCAAGTCACCTACGAGTCGGAACCACCTAAAGTGGTCTGTACGACAGGCTAGCACCTGCCTTGGATCCAAGGTGAGCGTACAATGCGAGAGGTGAACGATCACATGAAGGCTATGCCCTACTCTGATAGAGCACAATCACCGAGGTGCAGGACTATAAGCTATAACTCAATCTCATCAACACCACATCTATCACTAACAACATACTCACCTGACTTACCTGAGCGTCCGCGGCGCCAAAGCATAACCAACACAATCAAAATAATAATAATGACGATATTCGACATGGCATTTCAATTATAAAACCATTTAAAACGTAGTTTCTGGAAAGATATTAGTCTATATATATATATATATATATATATATATATACACACACACTAAAAACAAAAGCCCACTTACTGATACATAGAAGGGTCGTAAGCCTCGAGCCTCACGTGCCTGCTCTCGTCCTCCGGATAGTCCTCACCTATATGCGAAACAACTATAAAAACGTCAATTTAACGCGCATAACCAACCTTAGGTAATAACTTCTCATACATTGCTCAAATAGGGTGTTTGAATATACCAACATGCTCTACTCAACCTCACAAACATCCCCATATTTTTAAAATAATTTTCTAACCTCCCACGCGCAGGCACGTGCCTGGCACGCGTGTAGAACCCTAACGACGTTAGGGAATATTCCGTTAAAATCCTAACAGACGTTAACGGCCGTTACCTGATGCCGTTAGAATATTCCGTTAACTCTGACGGAATATTCTCCTCCTTCTCCGATGAGCCTCGCCGATTGCCGCCGTCTGCAACTCGAATTTCTCCGGAAACTGGGAAAAACTTCAACCTTTAATATCTTTTTCATTTCTCAACCAAAATTTGTACCAAAATGAAGCTTACAACGAGTAGAACAAAACCTTACCACTTTGGGGGACCCAAAACCAACGGAATCTCGCCGGAATAACTCACGATATTCCGGCCAACCCTGTAACTCCTTGAAACTGGGCTTCCCAACGTCCAAAACACTTCAAAATTGTTCCCCAAGCTTCGTGAGAAGGTTCTAAAGCTCTCTACAACCTTAAAAACTTCTAAAAACCTCACAATCATGTGTGCATGAACAGTGCTCCAATTCGGGGTTTTCTGGTTCTCGGGTTTCTGAAGGTTTCACGTCAATTTAAGGGTATGAACAAGCCCCTGAGCTCACAAGGAACACAAAGGTAAACTCCTCGACGTCAATCCGTGAAAGTAGAAGGTAGTTTGAAGTTCGTTTGTACCTTTGCAAAGGAAATGGAAGAAACTAGAAGAAAATCCGAGAGAGAAGGGAGAGAGGAAAGGTCCACAGGTGTGGGTGTGTATGGTGTGTGGTCCAGATGAGTTCACAACCAAAAACAAAACAAGCCAAACACCCTACAACACAAAATACGTCCAGGGGCAAAATCGTCTTTTCACACCTACGATACAAAAAAATCAGGACGAGCTGTCACATCATATATCAATTTGCTTCAAATCTCCACACCACCACCATTTGGTTCAAATTTCAAATAATATTTTTTGGTATTCTAATCTAATCTAATCTGAACTAAATTATATTTATATATGGATGGAGATTTATAATCTAATATTGATATGATTATTGGTATGCTTTGTGTTTGTAAACTCATTTAATTATTGAAATTTGTTTATTGATGAATTGGTATATGTTTATGTATTTTTTTTATTTATTAATGTGTAGGGTAGAGATAAGAAATATTGAAAGATTTTTCAAGCCAAAACTAATAGCACCTATTTGTTTGGGTAGTTCAAGTCACAATACAAAATGAGTGTGATATTGATTGGAATAATCTTGAGAGCGACTTTGGAAAAAGAATTCGAATGAAGGATGACCCTCCTAATATTCAAGATGAGGTCCACAGTGTATATTTACAAATGAAATATTTTCAGACTATGAAACATCGTCATTAACACTTGAATTAGGATTTTATAGCTTGCAATGTTGTTTTGCATATAATATATGAATGAAATGTATAATAATTTAATTTTTAAATGTTATTTTTATCTATAAACTTTTTTACCTTTATTATTGGAACCCCTAAGTTTAAAATTCTAGATTCGTCACTGGGACCCACCGCCTACAAACCCATCACCCTCCCATTTCCTCTGAGTTTAAAATTCTAGATCCGCCACTGAGACCCACTGCCTACAAACCCATCACCCTCCCATTTCTTCCCCATTTCAACTGTTCTCACTCATTTCCTTCATCGCCAAAACCATAACTCATTCTCCCACCGCCGCCCTCATTGGCCAATCACCTCATATTCACCACCCCACGTCCAAGACTAGGCTCACCACTGCCACCCCACCTACTTATTTTTCAACGAGGAGCAACGCATTAACGGAAAAATTGTTAAGAGTTGAGGGGGGGCGCGAGAAGGGTTGCTTTTGCCCTGGTGACGCATACGTACGTTGATAAGATCCAATGGGTGGGTGGAGTAGCCGTCGATAATGGAAGCGACGCCTCAATCGACAAATCCTTTGATACCCATTTTCCAATTGAATCAAAGGTCGAATCTTTTAGGGTTTTTTTTTTTTTTGCCCTTTTTTTGAGATTGTTTGTTAGAAAATGAATGAAAGAATTAAAAAAATTAGATCAAAATTGAATCGATAAGTTTAGGAGGACAAATCAGGGTTCATCATCGCAACGCTTGAAGGTGCAGACGGCGTGGTTTATTAACACTAAACAATCAATGAAGCCTTAGGGATGAAGAAGCTGGAGAAATCGAAGAATAAGAAGTAAGAGAGAGAAAGAAAGAAAGAAAGAAAACTTTCTATTATTCAGTGAGTAATTGATTGTTTTACATGATGGTACTCTAAGTCTTTAAACATTGGTTATATAGAAACAATGATGAGCAGATTTACAATTTTACCCATTCAACTAACTCTAACTGTTTTTCAACAAACTCAAACTAATCCAAATTTATTTGGTTAATATTTCCCCCTCAAACAGAATTGGGATCTCCTAAGTTGTGATTGCCGAGATTAATTAATGAGTTTTTTACTCCAATGATGAGTAGTTAAAACTGGTATGAGCTTTATCTGCTGCATTTGACATTTCTATCTTCTGTGAACATTGTGAATCACCACCAAACACTCCAATATGAAGATTTGTGCAGTGTTAAATGAACACTAGGCTATGCAAACCTTTAGTGAACACATCAGCTACCTGCTCATTTGTTGATATGTACTAAACAACAAGATCTCCCTTTTGAACTTTTTCACGAACAAAGTGATAATCCGTGTCTAGATGTTTAATCTTCGAATGGAACACTAGATTGGAACATAATGCCAAAGTTGAGAGATTATCACAATGCAAGGTAGGAGGTTGTGTAAGAATTTGATGCACATCCTTAAAGATAGATCAGATCCAGAACACATCTGCAGCACAGTGTGCCAAGGCTTTGTACTCGGCTTCTGTGGAACTTCGAGACACCGTTTCCTGTTTCTTTGACTGCCATGAAATCGGATTTGAACTTACGTAAACAACATAGCCAGTAATGGATCTCCTTGTGTTAATGTCTGCTACCCAGTTAGAATCAGAGTATGCATTTATCTAAAAGTCATTAGATTGAGTATATTGTAGACCATAGTTTACTGTACCCTAGAGGTACCTTATGATTCTTTTCACCAGATGCATATGTGACTCAGTAGGATTGGTCATATATTAGCACACAACATTGACTGAGTGTGCAATATCCGGCCTAGTAAAAGTAAGATACTGTAAAGCTCCAACTAGGCTCCTATAGTGTGTAGGATCAGACAATGGTGTTCCCTCAATTGTAAGTAACTGTGAATGTGGTTTGGAAGGTGTTGAAGTCGATTTACAGTGCTCCATTCTAGCCTCTTTCACCAATTCCTTCGTATATTTCGATTGATTCACAAATAAAGATCCATCTCCATTATATTGAACCTGTAATCCCAAGAAATATGCCAATGTGCCCATATCTTTTAAATCGAACACATCTGCAAGATTGTCAATCACAAATTGAATCTTCTCAGTATTAGATCCAGTCAAAATAATGTCATCAACGTATAAAAGGAGTACAATAACATCACTCCCATCCACTTTCACAAACAAACTTGTATCAGACATCGAAGTTTTAAAACTGAGGGCAGGCAAGAAACTTGTGAACTTGGAATTCCAAGCGCTTGGAGCTTGTTTCAATCCATACAATGACTTTACCTAATCTGCACACATGATTTCGATACTTTTGATCCACGAACCCTTGGGGTTGTTTCATATATACTTCTTCTTCAAGCTCCCCCATGCAAAAAGGCATTTTTAACATCTAACTATCTTAAACTCAAGTGAAATTATGCTGCCAATGCCATAATAAGTCTCACAATTGAATGTCGAACCACAGGACTAAAGGTTTCTGAATAGTCTATCCCTTGCTCTTGACTGAAACCTTGTGCCACCAATCGAGCTTTGTATCTTGACACTGTCCCATCAGGATTCCTTTTTACTTTATAGACCTATTTACTTCCTATCACAACTCTATCACTTGGAGGAAGAACAAGTTTCCATGTACCCTGTGACTTTAGGGCATCATACTCTTCCTGCATAGCTTTTTGCCATTGAATTACAGTGGATGCAGCTTTAAAGTTCTTTGGTTCCTCTACTTCATGTATGTCAGCCAAGAACAAAAAACCGCATGATATATGCCCATTTGAATCCCTAATATCACCATCTAAACACTAAAGAAATGCTAATTGAGGCAGGGTAGACATAAACGATGTGTAATCTCTCCTCATAATAACACCAGTTTTAAGTCTAGTTTGAATAACATTATTCTGTGACTGAGATTGAGATTATGTATGTTGTGGGGGCAGAGAGAGAATTACCTGAAGTTAAGCAGGATCAAGAACAGAAAGCAAGGGACCTGCATGTTAAAATGAGGAAAGAGTTTCTGTAGGTGCCTGTGTTTCAAATCCCTGTGTTCCAAAACTACCTGTGTTTGAAGAAGAAACTGGTGTCTGTGCGTCATGATGAACTGCAGTTGATGAAGAACCATTTACATTCCCATGACTAGAAGATGATTCTACTTGGCCCTCTTGATGATTCGAATTTTCATGATCTGTAGATCTATGTTACACTGGAATAGGTACTACTACACTTCTATACTGAGATTGAACTGGAATATGTACTTGGACTTTAGACTGTATCAGTGCATAAGGAAATACACTTTATTAAAAACAACATGTCTTGAGATGATACATTTCTTATTATGAACATTGTAATAGATCACACCTTTATAGCCCATAGAAAACCCTAAGAACACACATTGTGTAGATCTAGGTTGTAACTTGTGCACAGAGTAAGGTCTCAACCATGGATATACTACTGATCCAAACACTTTCAAACTCTTCAACTCTGGATCCTTGTCATACAATTTCTTATAAGGTGAATCCATGGACAAACCTTTGCATGGCATCCTATTTATTAGAAATACAGCATGTGCACAGGCATAGTACCAAAATTCAATTGGCAATCCAGCTTGAACAAGAAGAGTAATGGCAGTTTCCACTATATTTCTATGTTTTCTTTCAATTACTTCATTCTGTTGAGGAGTGTATGGGCAGGAAATCATTTGTTCAACACCTTTTTCATTAAGGAAGGCTTTAAAAGCATGACTTGTGTACTCTCCCTCACCATCCGTTTGGATACATTTAATAGCAACACCAAACTGTGTATGAACAAGACTATAGAATTTCATAAAAATAGCATACACATATGATTTGTTATACATTGGAAAAATCCAAGTATACTTGTATATTGATCAACAGAAGTTACATAGTATCTATACCCCTCTATTGTCTTGACTGGAGAAGGACCCCATACATCTAAGTGCACCTTTTCAAATGGTGAATAGTACCTATCACTGCTAGAAGAAAAAGGAAGTCTACACATCTTTCCTTGAATACAATGGGTACATATACTATGACACTCATCTAATTCTAGTGGTATGTTTGACTGTCTTAACATGATAGACATTATTTCATTAGTAGGATGACCAAACCGTTGATGCCACAAAGTTGACTTCACCAACTGTCCAAGAAAAGCAGAAAATCCCTGAACCACTAATTGTACTCCTCTTGAATGCTTGATAACATGGATTTGAAACAATTGTTTGGCTCTACTCTTTCCTCTGTACAGGATGTCCCTTGTCTTCTTGTCCTACACAAAAAACTCATTCTCATCACAAATAAACCAACTATGATTGTCAGCACATAATTGTTGAACTGACAGCAAACTCCGAGCAAATTTTGGAACATGTAAAACATTATTAAGAACAAGGTTATGAAAGTTGGTTTTAATTGTAGTTGCAACAATATTTGCAATAGATAAACCTGTCCCATTTCTAATTGTAATTGTATCAGAACCTTGGAATGGTGTGAATTGACTCAGTGTGTTAACATCAGCAGTGATATGGCGAGATGCACCAGTATCAACAATCCACGCATCTTAAGGAATATGTTGTTCTGTTTGCTGTGCTGCCATTGCCATCAAAGTTGAAGGTGGTTGTTGACCCTGGAATACATAATTTCTTCTGTGATAACACTCAAGTGTCGAGTGACCACGTTTCCCACAAATTTAGCACTCCATTTGGAACCCATTATTTGGTCCATGAGCATTTCTGTGAAAACAATTAACAGCAGTATGTCATCTCTTGTTGCAAATCTGACATTCAATTACTGTAGTAGACCTGTTTTCTATGTTCCCATGCCATACATTTGAACCATATTGTCTTGAACCACCAAATGGATATCCAGATGAAGTACTTGTATTGTATCCCTTGCCTTTGAATCCAGTGTTTGGCTTGTAACTATTATTACCCTTATAATTTTGCTTTTGCACAAATAGAGGTTTTGGACCAAAGTTTGTAGCATTGCCCATATACCCAAAACCATAAGGAATAAAAGGATAAACCGGAGCAGGAAACTGTTGAGGTATTAGGGGTTGTGGGTATTGCTGTGGTAAGACAAATGGTGGTGGATATTGTTGTACATAAGTGTCAGCAGAAAATGGGTATTGATGAGAAGTAAGAACACCCCCAGTTGTTGCTGGTAAATAGATATGCCCTGCAGGATTAGAACCTGAAGCAGATGAATCTCCCTGAGTCGACTGTGACCTTTGAACATATAAGGTAGAAACATTCTAAGACACAACACTTGATTCACCTTCTATTTCTTTTTCAGCCCCAAGCAACAAAGCCCTAAATTCTTTCAAGGAAATAAATGACTCTCTAACTAATATCACTGTTCGAATTATTGCATACTCTTTTGGTAAACTGGCTAAACCAGCAATTATCACATCATTATCAGAAATGAGCTCTCCAGCAGCAGTTAACTGATCCCTTATATTTTTCAACCTTAACAAATATCTATCAATGGAATCTCCTTCTTTCTGAATTGTATGCAGTTCAATCTTTAAATGATTAACTCTAGATTTAGACACTGAAGCAAAATGATCCACAAGATTCAACCAAGCCTCACAAGCAGTTACACAACCAAGAACATATTCAATAGCCTCATCAGACAAAGTAGCTAATAACAGACTCAACAATGCCATATCTGTGGATTCCCATTCAACATAAGCATCAGTAAATTCAGAAGTAACACCTCTCTTAGTGTGAATGACAAATTTTGGTGGACACACAATAGTACCATCAAAATGCCCAAACAATTTATAACCCTTCAACGCAGACTTGAACTGAAATGCCTATTTCGCAAAATTATCTTCCTTCAACTTTATAGTAATCATTCCCAGCAGATTTTTAACCTTAACACTAGGATTGGCCATGATTTCTCGATGCAAGAAAAAACACAAATTGTCAAGAACTACATAAATGCCCAACTTTTTGACAATATGAATCGATAGAGAGATTGAAACTCCTGTAATCAAGAAAGACTGAAACTTTCTTATGAATCAAGAGAGATTGAAACTCCTGTAGTAATCAAGAAAGACTGAAACTTTCTTGATAAATCGTGCAACGAAATTGTAATCAAAACATACAACAATTCTGAAATCTTGAATTTCTAATCAGGACTAAAACCCAATTACCCAGTATAAATGCACAATATCACCTGAATCGCAGCTTTGATGAAAACCCCAAATCACCAGGACTTCAATCGCCAGAACATTGAACGGACTTTGTGAGATCCCTTTTGACGCTTCGATTGTGTATAGTGCCAGCAGAAGAACTAAGATCAACAACGGCAGCGAGCCAATGCCCGCGATGATACCATATTAACACTAAAGAATCAATGAAGCCTTAGGGATGAAGAAGCTGGAGAAATCGAAGAACAAGAAGTAAGAGAGAGAGAGAGAGAGAGAGAGAGAGAAAGAGAGAAAGAGAGAAAGAGAGAGAGAAAGAAAGAAAGAGAGAGAAACTTTCTATTATTCAGTGAGTAATTGATTGTTTTACATTATGGTACTCTAAGTCTCTATACATTGGTTATATAGAGACAATGATGAGCAAATTTACAATTTTACCCATTCAACTAACTCTAACTGTTTTTCAACAAACTCAAACTAATCCAAATTTATTTGGTTAATATGGTTGAGTATGTCAGCCTGGCTATAAAGGATGATGGTGTGGAAGGAGAAGCGATGTGTTTTGAGGTCAGGCCGGGAGGCGAAAAAGTCGTTGAGGAACTTGCAGATGAAATTGTAATGGTTGTTGTCGCAAATGCGGTTAATGGCGACGGAGGAGGTGATGCGATCAAGGTAGGATTCAGGGGTTAGGGAGGCGGATTTGCAGATTTTGAGGATTTCGGATGAGCCTTTCTCGAATTTGAATAGGGAACAGGTGAGGGCGTCGTGGCAAAAGCGAGATAGAAGAGATATGGCTTCTATAGAGAGAAATGGGGGATGTCTTTAGGGTTTTGCAGAGGCATTAGGGGGACATATGAATTGGGGAAAAAGGGAAGGTTGATAGGATTGCAGGGGGTGGGTCCCACGTTTAAAAAAATATAATATTGAAATGATTTTATCTTTAATTTATTAATATTTTTATCCAGTTGAGCAAGGGAGTAGGCCCGCCTCAAGCCACGTCATCATTTAATAGAAAATTTGACAAACAAACTGAC